AAATTGATGACAGCAGAGAAATATACTGTTGTCAGTCAAAGCCTCTTAATCTAAATGAAAGCACTCTTGGTGCTGTAGTCAATGGATATGGGATTGTGGGAATAAGGTCAATCCTTTTTCACTTTTGTACTCCTCCTGAAATATCCATTGTATTTCACTGAAAGTAAAAATGACACATTGCAAAGGCATTGGATTGTCCCACGAAATACAACAATCCTCAGCATGTTAACGCAATTTTTTTTCCTTTTCATATTGCCCCAAACTGCAAGAAAAAACATTGTTTTCAAATAATAATAATAATAACCATTCTCAGCAGTTTCTAAGTAATGGAGTCTCCAAACGTTCCAGGCCTTTAATTCTGTTTTGTTTCTTCCACTTAGGAGACGGAAAATCCCCTAGATCAATTCAAACTCATTTTTCAAATCTGCTCACTTCCCAAGCAGAAATAAATTACCAACATCTCTCTGAGATTTAATTGCTTTCACTCCAGAAAAACACCCCTTCTGCCCAGAGGAATGAACCAAAAGAAGAAATGCTAGGTTAATCAGTAAAGAATGAGTGGATCTGAGTTTTTTTCCCCTCTCCTAAATTAACTTAGTGTTACTTGTCAGTTAATATATAGTAATTTGCAGTGAAGTAATTTTTCGTGAAGAGCTCAGTACTTCCCTTGTTCAAACCAGGAGCTGAAATACCTGTTCACCCACAGATTTCCAAAAGAAAGTGCTTTTGCAAGAAAAAAAAAAGGTTAAGAAATGAATGAGGAAAAAAAAAAAAAAAAAGGAAGAAGGGAGAGAGAAGGAAAGAGAGAGAGAAAAGAGGCCAGTGAGAAAGCAAGAAAGGGAGAAAGCATGCCTGCGTGAGAGAAAGCAAGCAAGAAAGAAGGGAGGAAAGGAAGAAATTTGATCTAAGTTGTAATATTTCTGAAGCACTGGATCCAGCATGAAATAATGGGCCAATCATGTGCAACATAGAGAAGTTCAATGTAATAAGATTTGGTAAGGTCAGAGTCTTTTTTTTTTTTTTCAAATGAGATATTGTTCTTGAAAGTGACGCTGAGCTATAGTAGGCAGTGGTAGGAAAGGAAACATCTTGTTTACAAATGTCAGCCAGCAATTAGCGTCATTTAAAGAGTGGAACCACAACTGCTGTCTTTTGTTAGCTTTGAAAACCTCATCTCTTTCTTGTGGCCACGTTTTAAGAGGCAAAGTAGACAGCAAGACTCTGAAACCAGTTCATAAATAGTTGATTTCATATTTTAAAATCTTGCCTATAACTGTCACCCCCCTCGCGTGGATCACAGATGGTGAAGAACTAATTTGTTACTGTTTGATAACGGCTTTTATGTATCAAAGCTCTTATTTACTACTCTGTGGGGGGAAATGACAGACTAAAAGCAATTATGTGTTTTTCTTTCAGTTTTTCTTTAACCACTATGCTCTTTGGCTTTTTTTTTTTTTTTTCCGCTCTGACATGTTTCTTATTTGAAATATAGCATTGTGAATCTTTTACATATGTTGGTTCTCATTTAACCCTCTTTCTGGGTTTTCAAGAATGCATCTGGCCAGGCCGATCAACTGTAATCTTTCATGATTGTTTATAATGGCCCAGTGATAAGTAATAACACTCAGGGGTGTCTCCTGGTAACAGTGTATTACATTTCAGTATTAAAAATGCAAATTGGGACTCTGCTTTTGAAGATTGTCAGGAAAATGTTTCAAGGAGGGAGAACAGCTACCAGGATGCCTGTAAGTGAAATAACCCCCTTTCCCCCCTCTGTGTGGGGCCTCCTGCCCACAGGTTTTCTGAAGAAGCCCCCCTCCTCCTTCCCCCAAAATAAATAAATAAGTGAAGAGGCTTTCCTCTGTATGTGGCATTAAGTAACCGATGTTAAATCTTTGGCCCTGGCAAGTCATGAACCCTCACATCTGTGCATTTTTTTTTCTTGCTGGTGATATGCAAACCACGCACTTGGTGTGGCCATCAAGAATGAGTTTGCTGTGGGTTGTGTTTTCTGGTGTTGCACTGCAGCAGAGCTGATGGGGCTGCACTTAGCTTTATCCTGAATAAACAAAGGAGGTTCCAACTTGGTGATGACCATAGCTGATTTGTTGGTGGGTTTCCTTAATATAAATCAGTGAGTCTGCTTGTGTGCATAAAATTTAGGATGTGTGTGAACACCACTGTGATTTTCATCTTCAGTGTAAATTTAAAGGCAAAAGAATGCTATCATAGATAGGAAACTTCAATATAGCCATATAGTATCATAATTGTGGCTACAGACTGAGGGAAACATTGCCTATTGTTGCTGAAATCAATACAAATTTTCCCACTGACTTAAATGAAAGGAAGAAGTCACCATGGAAAAACCCATGGAAAGATTATAAGCTTTTGTTTGTCTCATTGCATCCTTTAAATTACCTCCTAGCTCTCTTTCCCTATTCCACCCTTCTTTTCTTCTTCTGTATTATGCTCACACTGGCATTAGGTGGTGCCTGTTAACATCAGTGGGACTGCTTGTGGAATGATATCTCATCAAAAAAGAATATACAGAGCATGCACTTCCATACTCTCTGAAACATGTCTTTTAACCAAAGCTTAGACTACCAGGAAGAAAAATCAAGAAAATGCAGAAAATCAGAAGAGGAGTGAAAAGGGAAATGGAATTTAGGAAGCTAGTATGCCTGTTTAAAGATGAAACATCACAATTTAACCCTTTTTCAAACCAAAATGTAGGAATAACACTTACTTCCATGCTTTAATACCAGAAACCTTCAATGAAATCCATAAATCACATCCACATGTTTTAGAATAAATCTCTGTTCTGTATTTTACAAATTGCTTTCTCAAGACATAGTTTGAGTAAGGTCAGCAATCCTTCCCTCCTCTTGTTCGACTTTCTCAGGGTGAAATTCACCCCTGGCAGTTGTCAAGAACAAGACCTGTGTCACCGAACTCCTGCCTAAGCCAATTGATTTCTAGTGAGAGCTATATTTAGGCTAATCAGGTCCACTGTGTCTGGATGTGGCAATGAAATAGCTGAAGCATGCTCTATCAGGCCCCATTTGAAAATGCTGGCCCAAGTGTGCCTGTCATTTCTGCTGTATTTCAGACTCTCCATCATTTTGATAATTATACAGCTTGGAAACTTTTTTTCTTTTTATAGTCTTTGAAACTATAATGAAGTCTTCAGTGTTGCCAACCCAAACCATCCAAAAATCTTGAATTGGGCTTGAAATAATCATGAGATTGGCCTGAAAATCATGCAACTGAATGTACTTGGCTTCTCTTTATTTGCCTTCTGGTTTTGAGTGTTTTAAGGTGCAATGGGGTCACATTTACAGGGTTTCCTCTGCGTCTGTGTGGGCCAGAAATGCAATCTTTTTATAATACAACTGAAATTCCTTGGGTATTCACATGACTCCAGGAGCTGGTATGGGGGGGGGGGGAGTGAAGGGGGAATCCACTGTGTTTAGGCTTGCGACAAAATTGGAAGCCTTGGCAATACAGAGCGTCTCACATTCAAAGTTTGTTTATAAGGGGAATATAGTTCTATGGAGAGGGAGAACAGAGTTCCCTTCTGTTCTCTTCTGACTTGAGAGAAATTCCTCCCAAAGAGTGAGCTTCGCAGAGCCAGCACAAGGCCTATTCAGCATTTGAAGTGATGCATAGACCTGGTTGTGGCTCTCTTTATATGAATTTACTTCATGCAACATTAAGAGAAGCTGCAGAAGTTATTGTAGCTGAGATAGTTTAATGTTCTCAAGTAAAAAAGGAAATTCTTTATAAAACTGCCCATTTTCATGGATTTGGAAGCAAAGTCCCATGAGGAGGGCTATAGGACTGAAAGCCCTTGTGAAAGAGGATGTAGGAGGCCCTTGAAGCTGAAAGAGAGCTGCAGATGAAAGTATATAACCCATTATGCATTACTGAATGTAAGAATCCAGTCTTAGGGCATGTACGTGTTTGTGGAGTAGGAAGATGGCGGGAGATGCTGGTAGGAGCAGCACCTGGGAAAGTAAGCAAGCAAAGATGTAGGTGAGAAAAATCTTCTTCCAAGGTCCCCTTCCTTACTGCTGTTGTAAGTGGGACCTAAAGCTTTGAATGTAGGACCAAGACATTAAAGCTGGGATTCAATTTATCAGTTATAAATATCTGTGACACAAGACATTTAAAGCGGGATTCACCTCATCCGCCATCTACATGTGTACTAGTTCCTTGTTAAGCAATAGAAATTGAGACTTCTGGGGTGCAATTCATCTCATCCCCAAACAGACACCTAAACAGATTAGATAAACTGCGTCATAAAGATGCCTTTTTATTTCCACTGCCTACGTAGGAAACTCAAGTTGAAGTTTTTTTAAGACGACTAGTTCTTAGACTATTGACAATGCAGAAGTCTAAAGTTAAGCATTTTTCCCATGTTTTGTTTAAGAAAAGTCTTAGGTGACAGCTTTTTGAGCAATTCAGGATAGAACTGTACATGTTCTTGGTGCAACACTATGTGTTTATGTGCACATTTTTGCTTTTGTCTAAATTGGGAAGTAGCAAGAGTAGTAGGGAGTTTGTTGCTGCTCTTGGAGAAGAATGTCATTGGACAAGACTGAACTCCATGAACAGGGAGATATAGATACAGCTTTCAGCTATCTATACTACATGATAAATGTCTATATATTGCAGTGCCCATACTCTGGGATCCTCATGTCCAAACCATGTCTGAATGTCTCAGATCAGTCTATAATGCTTTAAAATCATTTGACTGGTTTTGCTTTTCTGTGACTAGTGACACCTTTAAGTAATGCACCATTAGTGTCTCTTATCCCACTTGTGTATGCCTTAAAAATTGGCAGAGTGTTTTCACTCAAAAGGTATCACATTCAATTTAAGTACAGGATTTGGAGCGTGCCAAGCCAAGTACTCTTTGCCAGCAATTTGACATCCTGAACAAATAAGGTTTGAATTCCTGCTCTGAAACAGGAAAAGGATCATTTAGTCTGTTTGAATATCATTTAGAGTAGGATAGCTTTATTTTTCTGATGCAGCAGTAGTGTCAAGTGTTGATTCTGACAGATTTATTGAACTGACGGTTGTACATTAAACATACAGCTTTAGACTTAGCTTAAATATATATTCAATGTTTCTATGAAATCTAATTTATGAAAATACCCTATTATACGTAGATTATAAATGCAAAATAAAATCAATTATAGCCAAAGGTTCTCAGGGCAGACTTTTTCCATCACAGCTATGATAGAGGTTAAGAACAGGGACCAGGGAAATCACACACAAAGGAAGAGATCCACAGAAAGACATAGGTACTTATTTGCCAAATTAGGCATAGAAGTAAAACCCCGTATTCTCAGCCACACCTTCCTCCTTCCCTCTGTTTCAGCTGTTGCCCAACTTCTGAGACACACTCTTTCAGTCAGTAAAATTTTCTGGGTGCTTCAATTTCTGCTGCAGAAAGAGTAAAATATTAACAGTGCCTGCTGCCCTGAATAACCCTGACATGACCATGTGTATGTGGAACAGTGGGACAGGAGGTAGAGAGTCAAGTGAGAAGATATCTCCTTGTACCTGAAAGAAGTGTCAACATGGCAATGCACAGTAATAAGCACTGCCTCTTAAACAGGGTGATCAACTTTAAGTAGGGCACCCCATCAACTGACCAACCTGTTTCTGGTCTGCAAGTTGGCTTAGTTTATATCTATCTTGGGTAGCTCTGTTAGGAGCTGAACCAAGAGGAGGTATGCTCTTAGTGACCCATGTCCATTGGGAGATAAAATGGAGGAATTTGGGGACAAATGCAGGCGACAGCACAAGCTGAGCCAGGCTCCTCTCCTAATGCTCTGAGCCCACCTTCTAGTGCCAGCTATGGACTGACTGCCATGTAGTGGTCTTCACATGGTGCTGCACACCTACATGTCCTCCTTACATGGCTGTGTGAAGTGTTACAATTACCAGTGTTGTCCAGCAAGATGGAATGGTAATGTAAGTATTTAGATAGATAGGAGCTGAATTTTTGCTTGTACACATGCACACAAGACTGTGTCCCATCCTCTTACTCCTACTCTTAATGTAGACTTCCGAAAGATTTACAGAAATCCTGGTGTGGCATGGTAACATTTTCTATACCTCATTTGCCAGACTTAAACCACTTTTCATTCATGGTCTTGCTATGCCACTGTTGAGGAGAAAAAAAAAGTGTTTTCTGTCTCATGGCTGCTGCAGCACAACCTTTACAAGGAGCTTTAGCTTTTACCTGCTTGTCATTGCTTTAAAAAAATACTCAATACCACAACATTTTACAGAGCAGTTGTAAAAATAGTAATAAGAAGAACACTAATAACACCCCCATCTGTTTGAGCTCTGAGGCTCCTTGATTCATGTGCTTCCCTTATTGAGGCTCAGACTGCTGTGAGAGAACCTTTACCTGTGTCTAACTATGCACCTGTTGAGGTGAATAGAATCTGAGGCAAGCCGGTGTGGGCAGCTTCAAAAAACCTCACCCAGGAAACACTAATTTGTTTTATAAAAGGGCTACAGCTTCCATTGCTTTACGATTTAGGTGAAGAATCTGATTTTTTGTTAATTAAGCTTATGTGTCTGATACTTGATTTAACTGAAGCTATGATCATGCAATAGAAATTGACAGTACACTCAGACAAACTTATGTAAGTGCTCAGTTGATAATCTATAGAAATTTTCCTTAATTTGCGTTCAGCCTGAAAGCACCTAACAACAAAATATTAAGCAGAAATCACTAGACATTTACTGTCAAATATAAGCTGAAATACCACACTTAGCACAAACACTGTGTAACCCATGGTATATTAAGCATAATAAATACTAAGCCTCAAAATTTACCCTTTCGGCATTGAACTTACAATGTCCTTGTCCTTTAGCTACATGGATTCGCTTGCATTATGACAAAATACATGCAAGATAGTCCCTGTGAAATAAAAATGTCATTTATGGCTTCTTACTTGTAATCATGTGCAAAAATATAATAAAATCACACATACAAAAGGAACAAATACATTAATGTTATTGTTGTGCTATTAGCAATTGTTAATTTGAGAAATGAGTGTTTCAGGAGCTAGCTCTGGCTTTTGCTCTGATGGATCTGCTGTACCATATGCTATTATTCAGGCTAGTGATGGTGACGCAGAGCTCATTTTCTGTCTACTGATCAGTGTAACTTTCTGAGCTTGTTCTCTGCTACTGATAAAAATATATCTTTTTTTTTTTTCCTGGGCTTTCTAGCAATTAAAAGTGATCTCAGATATTGCCACTCTGCACTGCTGTTTGATGTTTATTTGCTCTGTCACCAGCACAACAAAGGAAAGGCAGCTTTAATTTGCTGTATTTTGTGTAATGCAAACGTGAGTTACTGTATATCCCTTAACAGCCCATCATTAATTTCCCTTGCATGCCATTTCCACATTTTGTATATTGCTGGCTGTTGTTATAGTATGTAAAGCATCAGCTGCTGTTTCACAGCTTGGATTTTAAGGGGTCCACAAGGAGAGATCAAAAGCTGAAATTCTAATATTGTCTCTAATGGAAGAACTATTACCCAAACAAGCAGGATGTAGATTTCTTTCCTAGCAGAATGATGCTATGGCATTCTCGCACTAATAGCCCTGCATCATTCAGGACTCTGGCAATATATGGTTTCCAGTTCTGAGAAACACGTATTTATTTTACACTTATCCTTTTGCCTAAGGAAAAAAAACCACATAGTCTAACTAATCTAGAAGTGAATTTATTTGTATAAATTCTTACAATGTACTCATCAGCTTAGTATATGGGCATTGTCAGTAAAAAAAAATGTTACTGACATCGAACATTTGTGATACACAGAGATTAAGCTTAAAGACAGAACAGTATGACTGTGTGAGAATCTGACTTGTGCAGAGAGCTAAATCTGGTAATTAGTAAAATTATAGATTGGGACCAGTTTCTATACTAATTCTAACATTCTTCCTAAAATGCAAAGCATCTTTAGCAGTTGTCTTGGAGGCAATGTGACTCTCTTATTTGACTGACCGATTCAAACCCTGCTCTTTCTGCAAATGTAAGAAGTATTACATAGTTCAAGTGAACTGAGAGGAACTAGCATATCATGGAGAGTCCAACCTTTTATTCTTTAAAAGACTGCTTTGCAAAGAAAGCTACCATGGCAAAGAGAGCTGTTAGACAGAAGGAAATTTTCTTTCTAAACACAGAATATTCCTCTTCCCTCAAAATAAGGAGAAAATGTATTGTTATGGTTTGATAAAATCCGATTTATTTTCTTTCATGGTTGAAGATACAGCCTCTAGTTCTTGAAGGAATGCTTGAGATTTTTTAGTTCAGTCATCATCACTGTTCACATTCTGAACTAATGATAAACATAGAGACTGATGTCATGAGAACCTCAAATAAAATTTTATTCCATGATTGGGCATTCAGTGCCTTTTAGGAAAAGATCACATACAGCTTCATGTATTGGGTTAAGATTGCTATTCCACATACCTATTTCTGAAAAAAAAAATCAGTTGAGAATATTTGCAGAGCTCATCCTTTAGAACGAAAGTTGTTTAACACACAGAAACTGTCATGAAGTTACCAACAAGGTGGGTTAGCATCTTCTGAAACTCATTTTTCAGAAGACAGATAACAAGCAATTCACAAAATAGAAGGAAAGAAATCAAACCAAAATCCTAGAAGGAAGGAAATTACTAGGGGAAAATCATAGGTGCAGGAAAGTTAAAAAAGACATTCTGTACAACTACTTACTGTATAAATATTGTTCGTGTTAAATTATTGCCTCCTCTGCTATCACAGATTGAAGCTGCTTTAAATCTTCTTACTTTGTTGAACCCAGTCGCAAAGTCTCTTGTCTATTCTGAACAGTGCAATGGACTGTGATAGGCTTTAAACTTAATCACAATAAAGCCCAGAGAAATTATGGATCTTGACATTAGAGCAAAGATAGAGCTTTCTTTAGCATATTGGGCATATATAGATAGTTGGTTTTCCTTATCTGTAACACAGAATTTCCTTAACATTTTTCTATAGATGCCATACTTGTAAAAGGATCAGTTTTCTCTAAGAAACTTTTTCCTTTGCTACAAAATGACTCATTTTCAAAAAATCCAAATGTAAAAAAAAAAATCAAAAAAAAAATCCAAGTTGCAAATTTCATGCAAAACTCTGGGTCTTTTTAGCTTTTAAACTTGATGGACAGGGGAATGTATGTGATGGGATAGAAATCTGGGTCACAGCATGAAATTCCTGTTTTTGTATTCATAAAAAACAAACTCCATATATCAAAGGAAGGAGGTGTGAAGTAGTAAAAAAGAAAAAGAGAAAAGCAGTCTAAAATATTCCCAGCTCTTGATATTTCTCAAGAACATGATGAGATCTTTTAAACATTATATGATTTCCTCTGATCATTATTGAAACAAAGATGTTCACTGCTGTGCTAATAACTGCTCTAAACTTATCTTCTGAAGATGAATTAGTGAAACAGTTCCAGTTTTACAGTAACTTTTTTCTATTCAAAAATGGTCTTAGGTCCTGTACTCTTGAGAAGTATTGGGGTGGGTACTTATATAGCAAAGCAGGACACAGACACTGAATACATCCTTCTCTACCCATATGTGATCAAGAGCAGTAGGGATAACGGTATGTAAACAAACCTTTTTTGGTACCATACTGTTACCTTGATGATTTTAAACCTTTGAGGTCTAGAGTGTCTCATCTAAATATAATGCCTAAAGAAAGAAGCTATTAGGTACATATCTCTTTTAAACAAAACTGTAATTTTTATGTCTTCCGCATGGCGGACCAAATTTTGGACAAGTTACAGTGCAACCTGAATCTCCAGAGTAGATAGCTTGAATTATTTTAGTTTACAGGCTAATGATGATTAGCAGGTTATAGCTCAAGATCTCACACTATGGGATAAACCTTTGTTTTTTAAGTGAGTCTACAAGTTAAGGTCAGAGCTAAAAATGTCAGTTTGACGTCCTCAATCTGAGGATGACGAGGAAATGAGGAATAGTTCTTAAAGAAAACATACTTCAAGCATGGCATTTGTAATGGTAAAAATGGTGACTCTTTCAGGCAGCAGCAGGAAGATTGTTTGTTCTAGTGCATTTCTGTTGCAGAAGGACAAGGAAATACAATGTGATTTGATGAAGAATTTGCCAGTAATTACATGAAGTGCTATTCTGATGCTTGGGGATGTTTTCTGTTATAAAGCTACTCAATAATAACCTAAAAATAACCTAATAATGAATGAAAAAGTAGTTTTAACTTGCTTGCAAGAGAAGTAGAAACAAGGAACCTTATTGTTTCTCAGTTCTTTTTGAAAAGGTTGCTAATTTCACTAATGCTTGTTGACAAGGAGTTCCACTGGCCACTACTGTATTTGCTTCCAAAGGATGAATAACATCAGAGAAAGTACACGACTACCTCAGTCTCTTAGTAATATTTCTCGTGCTGTTTGCTTGCTACTAAATATGTTCCTTGTGCATTCATTTGCTATAGTAGGACATAAGAGTATCAGCCATCACAGTACAAATTGAATGGGATTCCACAGACCAAGAGAAGGATAGATTCCGTATGTTTGGTCCCAGTAAAGATTCACGGTGCTCAGCTCATTCAGCACCTTGAAACTCTACTTACTGTCCTCTTTCAAATCTACTTTCCCCAAAACCTGAAAATTACTGTGGTTAATGTCAGAAAAGAAGTATTTTTGCTGTGTAGTGGCCATAGATATTTATAATTGAAGAAGAGAGATAGGTCAGCTTCCTCCACATTCTTCCAAAGATACGCATCTCCTCAAAAGGGGATAATAACATGCCTTAATATCATTAAAGAGATACAGTATTCCCAGATATTTATGAAAGAACTGTATCTTCATAAACCTCTTGGGCATACTTCTCCCTTTGGATGGAGGTTGTGCCCTAATGGCATAACTGCGCCCTCATCGTTGTCATGTCATAAGCTCCCTCAATAACGAAATACCAGTGGAATTCTAGCTGAATGTGCTAATGCCTGAGAGACACAACTCCTCTACCATAATACAGTCAGACAGAGAAAAAAAAAGATTAATTTATGAAAGCCACATTTACCCAGTGGCAGAATAGTTAGATGTTGATATCAGTTCACAAAAGTGGTGTATGGTGATCTGCAAATTAATTATACACTTGGATTGACAGAGACAGAATGTCAGCATTTGCTGGGATTTTCATGAATGCAGATTTAGGCTTCAAAACATCACTTACGCTCATGCTAAGCTTGAAGCACTTTCTCTAGTCCCAAGTAAAAAGTCAGGACCTAAATTATATTGTGTATTTAATTTGGAACTAATAAAATATAAGGTCAAAAAGGGAACATTTGAGTCAGTTTGTTATACAGTATTTGACCCTATCTACCCTACTAAAACTTCACATTGTTTCTCCAGTGGTGCCGTATGGGAACACAAGATTGCAATTGTGCCCCAAGAGCACGACAGCAGTCCTCATAATAGTTTCTTCAGTCTTTTTTTTACATTGCTTTCCAAAATGATGCTGCCATATGTGCTGTTATATTTAAGCAGCAGATGCTGTGAACTCGCAAAGTTGAAGAATGCTGAAGTATGATACCATTCGAAAACAGGTTTTCTAGGGAAAGCTGACTTCTTGCAAGGCTTTGGATTTATTTCAGGCATTTCATTACTAATTACAAAAGGCCATATAGAATGCATTTATACCACGTATTGGTTCTGTCTCGGGGCACCTAATACATGGGCTATTTAGCTTTTACACTATACTGCTCTTCCCACAGCTACAAAGCTGCAATAATCTCTATCTGCAGCAGTGCTAATGCTTTAATTTTGAAAAGGAGCTGGGAATGGGTCTTCATTTCCACTTCTTTACTTAACCAGAGTTTGAGCTAAGATGATGTTACAGGTTTGGTTTAGCTAACCAGAGCTAAGGATGATATTACACTGTAAACAGACTCCTAGTATTGGGTAAATATGGGTATTATGAATATAACATTAGGAAAGTCAAATTACTTTCATTTTAATTGATAACTGGCCTTCTAATCATTCTCATGTTTGAAAATATAGCAAGCAAATTCACAGCCTACTCTAAAGTACAATGAGATTGGCTGACCTGATGGACTTACAGGAAGTCAAATCAGTGACTGTAGTATATGCAGGCTAGTAGTTGGGAGAGGGTACAGTAGAGATACGGAGGAAAAGGTGGCTCAGAGGAACATTTCTAATGCAGAAATGTTGCTTTTTGGCTGTTGTTTTAGGAAAATAGGACTAAAGTAAATAGAAGCATTCTTTTAATACTGATGACTTGAGTAATTTTAGTTTCATGTGTAACTTCACTGGGTTGATGAGACCAAAATACCACACTCTGTAAGGCAGCTGTTTTCCACATACAGCCAGCCCTGAGTAAGTGCACATAAGGCAAATTGCCACCATGTCTTGTCAGTCTACAGCAATTCTTACACCTAAAGGACAGAAACCAGTTTGGAAGGAAATGAATTACCCATGAACAAGAAATGTCTGGGGGTCAGAGGGTCCTGCACCACTTTTCCGTCCTTTCACACATAGGTAATATACAGAGTGGTTTGGTTCTTCTTTCACCTGTGGCACTGATTGACACTCCCATCAAATGTATCAGTGGAAGTACACGTTTAACTCTCATGATCAACTTACAAAAGTTCATTTTCTTCATAAATGTATTTGGTATAAATGGCAAAGTTTTGGCAGAGAGGAGGGCTTCAGGGGGTGGTCTCTGGGTGAAGCAACCAGGGTCTGCTTTATGTCATATACAACCAGTATTTCCAAAACAGACCTAATGCAGGACACAGCTGAGCCCATCAGCTGAGCTGGTGGTGCCTTTGTGAAAAGAAAATACCAGAGGCAGAGGAGGAGGAACAAAAGAGGAGAAATGGTAGAGGGAAAACCAAAGTCAGAGGAGGGGGCTCTCCATGGCAGAGCAAGTACATAGCTGAAGGGACAGTGGCCTGAGGAAAGACCACAGTGCAGCATAGGAAAAGAGTGATAACCAAAAGAAAGAAACCACTGTGCATTGACCTGTGCTATTTGTTGGCTCACCAAGGGGACTGAATGTAGCGTGTCAATAATGAGAGAGGAGTCTGAAGTGAATGAGTGAAGTGGAACAAAGGAAGAAGGGAGGAGTCTAAAGTGAGATTGAGTCTGGGAAAGTGGAAGGAAAGATTTATTTTTTTCCCTAAGTGTTTTAATACTTGTCATATGTTTATTTGCAAACACTCTAATCAGTAATTAAATAATTATGCAAAATGGCAATAAATTAAATAACTTGAGTTTACTTTGCCCTTGGCAAATGCTTTGCCCTGCCTTTACCTTGACCTGTGACATCTCTCACTCTCATTCTTCTATTTTCTCCCCAGTTCAGCTGGGGTTGGAGAAAGAAAGAAGTGAGTGAGCACCTGGGTGGGTGCTTGGGTGCTAGCTGGAGCAAACTGACCACAGGAATGAATTTTATTATAATCTTTACCTCTCCTTCCTTCCCTCTCTCCTTTTTCTTTTTTTTTTCTTTTTTAGCTTTCAAATATATACATTAAGTATACATTAAGGCAAGTTGTTCTTGAAATTAATTCTTGCTTCTATCAGTTCTACAGTAAAAGAAATATGAAACTAGCCCTAGTTAGATGCTCCCAACAGTAATATTTTGGCATCCAGATCACACAATGCAATGGGATAGTCTAACCAGACTGCCAGCACTGGAATGAAAAATGTAACTCTTTATTCCAAAGAGACATTAGATCAACATACTCTGTATGGTTGCCACAAAGAAGTCATGTAAATGGGCTTGTTTGTTATGCCTTTTCATATATTACTTCCTTTCTGATTGTGTTTCCCTCTTCCTCACTCGTGTGCCATTTTGGGGGTGACATGTTCATGTTATTAAATTTCCATTGACTCGTCCTTCTTTTGTTGCTGGTCTTTTCAGCTCTTCGATAGTATTGCAGATCCAGCACCACTGGAAGAAGTACTGATTCCAGTAACTTGACTGTGTTTAATGAAACTTCTTCGCTGACAGGTCTACTCACAGGAATTGGATCCTATCCATGGGTGTGTTGTGCTGCCCCCTTCCTGCTTGAAGAAGGATGAAATACAAATGGTGATGAACCCCTTCTCGTCTTGGAAGGGATCATGCAGTATGGCTGGGGTGCACTGGTAGGATGTTGTGTTAAAGACACAAGTTCCAGCTAAGGTGCTTAAGGTTCACAATATCATAAAGGAGAGTGACTGTTGCAATGGGGAAAGGATCCTAGACTGCTCACTGGGGCTGCAGACTCCTTTGTGTGAAAAAAATACTCGTTAACTCTATTCAGGTCAACGAGGTTGTGTCTCAGCTGTAGTCCTGTGGTACATCTGATGAGCACAGAAAGTAAATGGTCTGACAGAAGAATTCTTAGGTCCTATTGTTTTGAGAGCTATGACAGACCTCCAGTGGAACTAGAAGAAAGGTGCAGATGAAAACCAAGAGAAAGGAGGACAAAGTGTTAAATATGCTGACTGGGCTGCTGGATTGAGCTGTCTGGAGAAGAAGGATGGAGCTATAAAATAAAGATTTAGACTTCTATAAGCTGAAGGGGGGATGGCTCCCATTTGCAGTTCAGCTTTTGGTCCCTCTAGTAAAAATAATCAGGCTTATGATGAAGTTAGTGAAGTTTACTTAACACTGTCATTAAAGTTTCCAAAGCATCACTCACTCAAACCCCCATCACTTATCTAAAAAATATATTATATGAGGAAGTTACACGAATCTAGGGTTTGTCAGTATTCATGGTTTCTGAACTGAGTATCTGAAGCAGCTGAACCACTTGCATGGTTTTGCTTTTCCTTCCAAACCTAGCAAGGGTGCTGTTCTAGTAAATGACAAAATCCAGATAGAGTGTGGGAGCAGCAGGATCCCAAATTAAACAACTGGGATGTTGATAAATGCTTCCAGTAGCAGATTTAACTACAGATGGAATCGTTTGACCATTCGACATGCCACAGTCCACTTGTTGGGGGCTTCCGACCACCTCTCTGCAACATTAACTTCATAAAAACTTCCATCAAAGAGCCCCCACCAGAGTCATAGTGCCTTTTTTAGAGCATTTTCTAACAGCAGAAATAAACATTAAAAGATTCTGCCCTTCCTTCCTTGACATATTTCTGACAGTAAATTAGAATCAGATGGAAGGTATCATTATTTCCACAAATGTTATCATGCTAATGAATTCCTGTACAATAGTATTTTCAAAAAATAAAACTTTCTCAAAAATACATATGCATTTGGCCAGTAAATTCAAAGACGTAAAGACGTTCTGTTTAAAGCTGATATTGTATTCCTGTCCTTGGGCAAAGGATGTTCTTTACTAACCAGTGCTTTTAACAATCAATTTTCAATATCCTGGACACCTGATATTTTTTGTTTTTAATTTGCATTTTCTCCTTTCCAGGTTGTTTGTTTGTTTGGATTTTTTTTTAAAGTACTGCACTTCAAAATTACAAAATATTTGCATACCTCACATTAGGAAAATAAATCTGCAAGAAATTAAGACTACTTTGATTACAAGAATCTCTTAGAACTGGAGATGATGTAATTTTAAAACAACAGTTTCTGAAAAGCAGAATTTCAAACATAAACAGGTGGTTCCCTGCCTCCACATTAGTGAACACCAAGCAAAAGATTGTCAGCGCTCTCCAGAGAATCTGTTCATTAAGAAGGTGCTTTACCAGGATATTGATTTTGTGGGGTGGAGATTTAACAGATATGTGACATTCAATAGATGTGGTTGAATGTAAGTAGAGATATAAGACAGGACTCAGGTGTATACATTTATGGAGGTTGATATTCATTTATTAGCATTCACTAACTGATTCCACAATATAATTTAGCAAGGTTTATGACAAAATCACTTTTCTTACCTACATACATGATATATTGCTAAATAAGACAGAATTATACCTTTATCATTTAATGTCTGTGTTATCCACACTCTTAGAGTTAGAAACATCCACTGCTGCTCTTCTCTGTGCTTTTTCATAATTTGACTCCAAATGCCCCCGAGAAAGTGTGGGATGATAACAAAGACAATGGCTGTATTTCCATTTGAATTATTCAGCCCTGCTTTACTGTGAGCAATAATGACTTTTTAGAGTGGTAAATCAGAAATATTTCAGCTCTTCTCTTTATAGTGCTTTGGAAATTTACTCAGGATATAACAACATTGGAGTTGCACCTAAATTCTAGTTGGGAGATTACTTTGTAATTATAGTGATCTGGAGCTACAACTAAGTGTATAGCTATGTATATAGCTATTATTATCTTATTATTATTTGTATTTATATGCTGTAATATTCACAACACACTATCCAACATTCACCCATGCATTGTACACACATACAAAGACTCAGTGCTTACTCAGAAATACTCGATCTAAATGCATAAGCAGGCACTCAGAAGTCCTCAGAATTTTAAACTAATTTGTAAATACTTTTATTCACATATTTATATATTTTTTAACTTTAAATATCTTTCTGATTGTTTCAGCTATAACATAAAACTGTATTATTTATTAGGATTACAAGTCCATTCACATATGACCTCCTTTCTATTCATATTACATACATCACCCAGGTGTTTACAGTCTTGTTTTCTAAACTCACAGTATCACAGTATCACAGTATGTTAGAGATTGGAAGGGACCTCAAAAGATCATCTAGTCCAATCCCCCTGCCGGAGCAGGAACACCTAGATAAGGTTACACAGGAACGTGTCCAGGCGGGTTTTGAATGTCTCCAAACAAGGAGATTCCACAACCTCCCTGGGCAGCCTGTTCCAGTGTTCCGTCACCCTCACTGAGAAGAAGTTTCTTCTCAGGTTTAAGTGGAACCTCTTGTGCTCCAATTTGTACCCATTACCCCTTGTCCTTTCATTGTTTGCCACTGAGAAGAGCCTGGCTCCATCCTCGTGACACTCCCCCTTTATATATTTATATACACTAATAAGGTCACCCCTCAATCTCCTCTTCTCCAAACTATAGCGACCCAGCTCCCTCAGTCTTTCCTCATAAGGGAGATGCTCCACTCCCTTAATCATCTTAGTTGCCCTGCGCTGGACTCTCTCCAGCAGGTCCCTGTCCTTTTTAAACTGAGGGGCCCAGAACTGGACACAATATTCCAGATGAGGTCTCACCAGGGCAGAGTAGAGGGGAAGGAGGACCTCTCTCGACCTACTAACCACCCCCCTTCTAATACACGCCAGGATGCCATTGGCCTTCTTGGCCACAAGGGCACAGTGTCGGCTCATGGTCACCCTGTTGTCCACCAGGACCCCCAGGTCCCTCTCCCCTACACTGCTCTCTAACAGGTCGTTCCCCAGCCTATACTGGAACCTGGGGTTGTTCCTGCCCAGATGCAGGACTCTATACTTTCCCTTGTTATATTTCATCAAGTTATTCCCCGCCCAGCTCTCCAGCCTGTCCAGGTCCCTCTGGATGGCAGCACAGCCTTCCGGCTTGTCGGTCACCCCTCCCAGCTTAGTGTCATCAGCAAACTTGCTGATAGTACACTCAATTCCCTCATCTAAATCATTGATGAATATATTAAATAATACTGGTCCCAAACTCTGTGGATGCAGAAACTCACTGTTTATTTTCCTGTAGTGAAGATACCTCTTTCAGGCTTCTATCCCTTCCTTAAGTTATGAGTCATATCTTTATTGTCACTCAGTGGCTGTTGAGCCAGTCCGTAGGTGCAGAGGTGTTGGTATAGTGCCCCTGCTGAAGAGCCAGGCCAGACCTCCAGCTAAGTTAAGACTGTACTTGGTCATAGGGCAGTGCTCCCTATCAAGTACTGCCATGTCCATACCAACTATTATATGTGTTTTAGCAAATTCTGGCACTGATCTCCACTCAAAAGAAGTGGTAGCAGAAAATGTCATCACACTGTTTCACTAGGGTCAGGAGGATGAACTTCATCAAGATAGTTATTCCTAATGAGATAGTTACTGAGCTTCTTTAGTCTTAAGCTCCCAATGTACATCCTGAAAAGCCATAAATTAGTTATCACATTTAAAGGCTTGCTAGGATGCTCATTTTACAAACAGCAAACAAGAAAAGCCGAAGGTTGTGGGTGATTTAGGACCACAATTCATTGTGAAATTGAATGATGTTTCAACTAAATACTTACTTGGGTTCTCTTTCTCTTCTGAAAGGCTAAAGATTACGGTGGCCAGGTTGCCTTTTGGGAGAAGTATCCAGACCTCATGTTTACCATCTTTATTCTCTGGCCACAAGAAATAACCTTCCTACATACATTTATGCAGAACTGAAGTAAAACTTTTGTTCCTTCGTAAAGAAAAGTCAAGCCAGAAGCATCTAGCAAAGACATAGATACAATCTTAAGCAATTTTATGCCTATTACTTATTTCAATGTCCTTCTGATGGGTGACTACGCCTTTGCTAGGGGTGCTCAAAGAGCCAAAAGAAACATATGTTGTGAAAAGTACCTTTATCAAAACAGACAGATGGATAGGTAACACTTTAAAACAGGGTGGCCAATGATTAGCAATTCATTTGGTATTCATTGTGATAACATTAATTGTGGTGAATAAATTACATTTAGCATCACTTGGAATTTTGTGAAAAGAACGTTTGCCTTTTCGATGTCTTTGAGAAAAGGAAAAAATAAACCACTTTTCTATTTTTTCCATTTTGTGTTATTTTTCCCTTCTCAGAAAACAGTTAACAGCAGAGTTGATGTAAGAAAACCGCAATTTTTGCATCAATGCTTTAAAATTTTAAATGTCTCTGATGTAATTATCATTATAAGTAAATTTTCACTCTGATAATGCTTTGAAGCTTTCCCACTTTTCTTGCAGCAATTGAAAAACTTCTGAACTGCTCAATCCTGTCTGCTGGTTCATCACTCTCATTTGGTTAAGTATACCAGAAAAGTGAAAAAATATACCTATTGCTTGTAAGCTGTAAACAGTCAGTAGATTGTGTTCTGTAGATTACAGACAGTTTACACTGGCTGGACCAGGCTTTAGCTGTCAGCACATAAAGAGAGAAATGGACAAAAGAGGCTCTGAGAGCAGATGTTGACACTGGAAGTTCAAATTCTGGGATCCTCAGCCTGTGGCTGTGGAAGCCCAGCTGGGAGAAAGAGACAGGCTGCATTCATAGAGCCTCTCTGGGATCCCTGCCCCATGCAGGTATTCAGCCATTGAGAGACAGGAAGATGAAAGGCTGCTTCACAGATGTCACCTGCTGAGGGTTCAGCAGCCTGTCCAGAAATGTCATGTTTGGCAGCTGGTGGAGGATCCCTCCCACCAGCTCTGGCTCACAGATTCTCACAGTATTCCGGGATAGATGCTTACACGGGGGCTTCCTAATGAGATGACATTAAAGAGAATTTTTGGCTTCTGTCTCTAATAGCACATTGACATTAACCTAGCTGTCCATTTATTACACAGTTCTACTGAAGATCACTCACTCTAACAAAATGAATTTTAGGCATAAGCACCAAGCCAAATTACCCTTGAAAATTGTCTGGATAGCTATCATTTCTCATTCTGTTAAACTGATTTTGCATTCTTTAGTTTCTGTGCAAGTTTCTGAAACTGCTCTAAATTCCACTGGTACATGCTCAGTCGAGGCACTTGGCCCCAAAAGCAGGAGAAACTGCACAGTTCCAGAGGATATATAGCACTCAAACATGGCACACTGAAACTCCTGAGTCCTATTATCTGCTTGGATAATAATATATGACCTCATCAGTACACACATTTAGAACATTGGCAGAAAAGATCAGAGTATTGGTAAGAAGATAAAAAGGAAAGGCAATAAGAATTTGGCAGAAGGATGCCAAGATCTAAGCAAAAACGTGCTAAGGTGAAGCAGAAACAGGCTATCGCTTAAATTGGTTAGTAGCGGTTAGTATTTCTCACCTATGGCCCTTAGGTCAAAGCAAATGGCACATGCTTTGTCCTTTGCCTTTTGGGCCACTTCTAATCTGCATAGAAAGATCAAGGGGTCCTTTTCCATACTGCATTCAGGTTCAGGGAAGTTCCAGGATATGATTTTTCTCTCATGAATCACATTCTCAGAAATATCTAGGAATATTACTTAAATGCATGAAATCGGCATTTGCTATTGACCAGTAACAGGAAAAAAAATTGCTCAGAATGGTCAAAATTCTCATTCTTTTTTTTTTTTTTTTTTGAAGCTTTACAATCTTTGCTTTTTTTTTTTCTTCTTTCTGTATTCAATGTAATAATAAGAATAGGTGTGCTTTTAACAGGCTAGATTTTTGATACAGCACCATAGTGTATTGCCTCTAAATAGCATTCAGAGGTATCAAAATGTCACTGAGACCCAGGAGAGGGCTTTCATCATCATCTAAATTCTTATTGCAACTATAGTTGTTACTGTTTTGGTTCTTCCCAGGGAGGTTGCCTGCATACCAGGCTAGAATAGGCAATGCCCCTCAGGATCAATAGCATGAAAGGTGTGCCTGAGGATACCAAGTAGAAGAACTGACAAGAAATTTGTTCATTAGCTACATCAGATGGTCGCAACTAAAATCACTTTTAGTGCTAATACCCTTTTTGGCTGTAGGGACTTAAACTTTGGGACATTAGGGTCTACTTGACACCTTGGTCATTGTTCTGCAAAAGGGGAGGAGAGAAAGTAATGAGTGAAAAAGTAGAGGGATTAACAGCAGGAAATAAACACACACTGAACAACATGACCCTAAATAAATTCACAGCATTCACCAATTAGAGAAACATACAGTGTAAAGGTCTTGAGCTCAGAATGGCCCACTAATGTCAACAAAGCCCTGGTGATTAATGTACTGATAGCTCTTAAACTGACTTATAATTATTTCCTTCTTTTAAGAAGGACTGGGGGGATGTTCCAATCTGTGTCAGTCCAAGCTGAGAAATCTTAAAATAAATCTAATTCTGAAAAGGTGAAAAATTTAGCATTTTTTGAGAACTGGATTTTTTATGTCAAAATCCAACTAAGGAAAACCTGTAGTTCCAATGATGCTCATAACTCTAGGGCATCTAAAGAACAATAAAACCATAAAATAAAAGGATGTCATAGACAAAAACAGAAAAAAAAACAATTTAGGTCCTGGCACTTTCTAGTGGTTTTAGTGCATTTCATACCTACTTCATGAGTGAATCTTAGCAAATGTTAGAATTTTCTCTTTAGGAAATATTAATGAGCTGATCTATGGAATATTAAATAAACATATCAATGAATTTTTATGTTTAATGTTTATAAAACTTATGTTTTAAATACAGTATTATATTCTCTACCACCAGGCTAGACTTCAATCTAGTTGAGAGGGATTTTTTAATTAAAGAACATAAAATTTAAACGGTTCAGAAAATGTCAACATGGGTTCCTATTTTCAGCCCAACACAGATGACAGAACGAGAGGGCATAAATGAAAATTAAAGAAAAACAAATTCAGAACAGATGTCAGGAAGCACTTTTTTCAAGCAGCGAATCATAAATGTGTGGAATGGCTTACCAGGCAAGATAGTTAAGGCAAAACCACGGAGGTCATTAAAGAAAGAATTAGAAGACATCATGGTGTAGATGGAAAAG